TTAATAAAATTTCAGTAAGGCTGTTAAACATTAAGAAGAAGAAGACATTTCAATAATATGATTAAAGACAATGCATTCAACCTGACCATTCAAGTGTGACCAAAAGTATTATGAGCTGTCATGTGCTCTCCTTCTTAATTCTTATTATTTAATCAAACTACCAAAGTTCACAAAAGTGTGTCCTTTTATGTACTGATTTGCGCCTCTGTTTTAGGGTCCTAGAGGTCCGGACGGAATGCCAGGCGAACTCGGCGCTGAAGGCAAAAAGGTAAAGGCGGTCCTTCAGAGCTCACCTCATGACTAAAGATAAATGCTGTACACGTTTGAATCTAACGTTAATTTATGTCCCCTCACAGGGTCTTGGTGGTCCTCCAGGAAAAATCGGTTTCCCGGGACAAGCGGTAAAAACACATTCTCCTTCTGATTGTGTTTCTACAGTAACTGTTGCCATGTCTCTCCGATCTTTTCTATGGTAACAGTCTCTATATCTGTCCAATCTCTCTGCAGGGCAAGATCGGGGAGCCTGGGGAGGCGGGGCCAAAGGGATTTCCGGTTAGTTTCTCTATTGAAATTTATATACTGCATATTTTAGGACTGTTCCTTAAAAATGTCATTTATTTATGTAATAATAATTCATTTTATTTGTAGAGCACATTCCATAGATACAATGCAGCTCAATTTGTGTCACGGGACAAAAATATAAAAATAAATAATTTATAAAAATATTTAATTTTTACAATATTCTCTTTTTTTAATGTTAATTTATTATTTATGATTTATTGTCATATTAATCATTGATTTATTTACTTGTTGCATTATTTAATTTATTCAACAATACATTTTGACTTTGTTTCTGTAGGGCATTCAAGGGCCATCCGGGGCTACAGGAGACAAAGGAATCGCAGGGGAGCCAGTGAGTGATGCTTTATTTCTGTTCTACACACAGAAACACATTTTCCAGTGTTTTTTTATGTAAACCTACTTTACGTCCTCTGGGTGTTGCACAACTCCAGAAGATGTGTTTTGAGCACTGTGTATTTTTGTCTCGTTCAGCCCTGAAATATATAGAACAATCGAATTCTCATGACCGAGTCCATGACTCTTTCTTGGCATTCAGTTGTCATATATAGTTTGTTAAATGTTTGTGATTATGTAGCTGTAAAATGTAAGTAAGATCTGCAGTAGTTTTGCCAGGCTATGAGACTGTACACACACATCTGCTTCACAGTTTAAGCCACAATTTGGCTTCAGATAATGGGAGATTGTAATGTTGAAATGTGTGTGTGTCTGTGTTGTGTTTGTATGTATGCATTACTGATAAATGATTTGTTTGTTTGGGACCAGGGACCTCCAGGGCCCCCAGGAACACTCGGGCCTCCTGGCAATCCAGGGCCAAAGGTAATACACTCTACACGTACACAAACACACGTCCAGGTTTTCTGCTGCTTCTGTCTGTTTTGGTTCCCTTGATTGTGAATGATACTGAGATTAAAATGATTGCCCTGTTTAATCCTATTTACTCCTCTTTCATTCTTTAATTGATTAATGAAAGTAATTTTAGGTCATTAATCCATCAGTTTTGGCACCAAAAAAGACATGGAAATAGAAAAATGTGTGCTCTCTCTTTCTCTCAGGGCCCTGCGGGAAAAGTTGGCGATCCCGGACTTCCAGGAGAACCTGGAGAAAAGGTGGGTAAATTGTTGGCTCTTTGCACTTTGGACTGGATTTTGGATTT